GTGGTTGGGCCCATACCAGAGGGTCTTGGGGGGGTTGTTTTGTTCCCTGGAGCACGGAGGAATGCGTTTGGAATTAAGGTTTTGTTTTTGCCATAGCTAGTGCTCCATGCAGGTTCTTGTACCTTAACAAAGAATATATGAGTTAAACAAAAAAAAAAAGAAAAAAAAATCCCTAGCTTTTAAGTCATCCTCCGTCTCCGCTACACCTCTGGCGATTGAAAACTCAACACCATGATTTCTATTGTGGCATTCATCGTCTAGCACCACCACCCCCCCCCCATCTCCCTCCATCTAGCCCCGGCTACAGGAGGTGGGCTCGCTTCCCCTCTCCCTTGGGGTCCTGATTTATTTCTTAATTCCCTCGGTTCCATCCCTGGTTGAGGCCTCTCATCTTCGTGATGTTTCCCCTCTTCCTACCCCGCCTCGCTTAGGCGTTGGCACGGTCGGCAACCCCCTTTTCCACCTTCAACAGACGGCCGGGACTACAGTTGCAGTAGGAGAGAACAGCTTACAGGCTACGGTCGATCTCTCCATTCTCTTGCCCCGGCAAGAGGCTGCCTAGTCGGACACGAACGCAGTTACCGATAGTTGTCGTTCACGGAATTGGGTCTACCCCTCCTCTACTCTTTGGGGCCTTTTTCCCTGGCAGGTGGTGGGATCCCCTCCACTACAGTGACGCTATCTCTCCCAGAACAAGGGACTACATGAGGGACGCGGTAAAACACCTGCTTCGCTTAGGGCTCCTCTCCACGGTCGGATCGGCTGGTACCCTACTACCACCTCCTCTCAAGCTGGCACCTTACTGCCTCAATCGTCGAATGTCCCGGAGGACACACGGTCGCTGGCATGCCTGCCACACACCTCCTCTCCTCGCTTCTTGGTCGCCGCCTTCGGGGTGGTTTCCCTTATACCCTCTGCGCCCGGGGCTTCGGCTCCCTCCTCCTGGCCCTCGTCATATGGCCTAGGGGTTCCTATGATGGATTTGAGTTGTGGCCATTGGCCTCTAGTGGGTTCGGTTTGGGTTTCTGCCCTTAGGTGTTTCGGTCTTGGGGTTAGGCGTGTTCTTGGTTCACTGTCAGGTA